GTTGTTTGCATAGCATTGAATAGAAGCCAGAACGGTGTCTTTTTAAGATGCTGCAAATGCTCATCTTTCAAATTGGTTGCCGCCACGACCTTCACAATGCATGTGATGTTTGACCGATAGCAAAATCTAGCTAGTTTGGTCACTGGTTTTGGGGGTTCATATTTGAGCTTCTTTCCCTTTCCACAACTGCTTTGCCCCTCAGTGTTCACATTTCTTGCTCTTAAAGGAGATAGACTTGTCTTTTACCTGATGTAGTCCTTTCATGGTTATTTTCTTTCTTGTTGGACCCCTTTGGTGGTGTTTCCTTACTTGTATCACATGCGAAACATGCCATACACGTTTCACGTTTTATATACAAACAAGTGGACAATAACAATAGAAATACTAATGTAAATACAGAAATTACTAGGAGAATGTGACAATATGAATGAGAATGTTAAATGTGAACATTAACATATAATGGAAAAGAATGTGACAGGTACATGTATTCAAGTTAGACCCATTCACAGACACATACCATACATTAACATTCTCATTGGATTACAATAAAAGATTCTAAGTCCGACACATTTAATAAGTATGCCTAAAAAGTTATTTCTACTTCATTAAATAAACGTCAATATTAATATCAACATTTTGACGTGTTATTACATTTCAATTCTGTTAGATTAGCATCTATTTTTGAGCTATACAATTGAATGAACATCATTTTTTAGTAGTAATGTGTTTATAAATAATGGAAACCTACTCCAAAGGAGACAATATCTTTATGATTCAAAGCACCACAATACCATTCATTTCAAGAAAAAATTTAGATGAACATGTATATGTGGGTGTTAATGTTTTCACGCCAAAAAACAAAATGGCTAAATATCAAATTTTACAAACCAATATGCAAATTGACATATACCAGACAATGTCAAACATGATACAACACAACATATATGATAACATGACACATGCGGATTTATTGAATAATGTGATAATATAAACGAGAACACGAATATGACAATATAAAATGGAAATGTGACACTTTATAAATGTGACAACATGAAAGACAATGTGACATATGCCAATTATAACACGAAACAAATCTACCCAACATAGACCACAACTCGAAGTCGTATTATTCGTCAAGCATAATATAACTGATGTTACAATGGAAATTACATGACCGCATATTTCACAAAACAAACACGTAACAATGTACCCACATTCCCACACACGTTTACGAATATGACACTTAAATACTTAGCATAAACGAGAACAATGTGACACGTGCCGATTTATTGAATAATGTGACAACACAAATGAGAATATGATGCGTGAAGATTGATGTACAACACGCTACGAACACGAATATGACAACATAAAATGGGGACGTGACACTTTATGACTATGACAACATGAAAGACAATGTAAAATATCATAATTAAAACACAAAACAAATCTACCCAACACAAACCATAACCCGAAATTGTACTAATTGTATTATTTGACTCACTGTGACAATTAACAAACAATTTCATAAATTCACATTCACATTCAGAAATCTTAAACTAAATAAAACAAGGACGTGGCACTAGTTACATTCGACAACTTACTTTTGTTACTAAACACAAACAACCAAATGACATTGTAGCACAATGCGGACCCCAAAAAAATCAGACATTCAACCACCATCATTTGCGTGGGTAAGAAATAGCCACGTCTGACAACCATCTTACAGACCCCCATTCGAACCTAAATATCACAACATAAATCCCATATTTGAGAACACATCAACAAATCACACACAAAATCGACAACCCACCTAAACCCCCATTCAAAAACACTAACAAATAACTTACATAACACGCTAAATCGATAACCCCCACATATATATTGATGACTTCAAACCAAAAACTATCTAAAACTCAAATAGCCATAAAACACACAAAATATACAACTCACGTTACAGCTTTTGACCAATGCAAATAAAAAATGTCAATAATCTCATATTCACATAAACCCTAATTATGGGTTGCTTACCAAAATCAAACGAATCAACATTGCAAAATGGGGGAAAAGTCACACTTATGTTTTGGGGCCATCAGTTGTCGTCGGTTCACAGGAGACGTAATCTAGAGCCCATCGTTCCGTCGCACCTCGCCGTCGGAATGCACTAGCGTTTTCTCGCAGTGGTGGCCTTACAAAATTTGTGTAATGAAGCTTGCCTTTTCATTAGCCTAATGAGACAGAACATATCTCATATATTTTGTTTCTTAAAAAATAGCCTAATCAAAGGTGTAATCACCAAACAGAACGTGAATCCTAAAATTCAAATTCACATCCATATAGATATGATCATAATCTATGGTAAAATTCAATTTCTCATATATGGTATTGTCATTATTTATTATATTTAATACTATTGAAGGTAAATGTGTCAACAAGCTTCCTACAGGACTTATGAGAACATAAGTTTTTTTCCAGGATCATATGTAGCATAAATCTCCCCAATAGGAGTTATAAATAATTTTCTCTTATTATTATTATTATTTTTGATTAGCAAAAAAGGAACCTTTATTGATGAAAAAACCATACAAGAAATGAGATTACATCAAATAAAGGAGGGGAAGAGCAGCATGCATCATAATAAACTAACCCAATCCCAACTAGGTTGGCACCGAGAAGAGAGCCCAATCATCTGCAAGCTCAACCCAGGAGTTTGGTGAGGAACCAAACCCAACAAGAAAATAAACAAACAAGAGAAACAAGAAAGACAAAGACAAAGCAGAGCATTCCAACAGCCCAGCAGCAGTCCAATGGCAGAACAGATCATCAACCATAGCATAGCACATCATCTCAAAATAACAGCCCACTGCTGAGCCTAGCATATCAGACCATCAAACCTAGCACAACAGATTACCAACAAAGCAAAGCATGACACCATCAAAAGCAGAACAGTCCAAAAGCAAAACAGATCATCAACTATAGCATATCACATCATCCCAAAATAACAACCCACTATTGGAGATCCACTTGTATCAACATCAATAGTCATGACAGTTGCTAGCAAACTTGGTAAGCAATGCTAAGAAAACAGCAGCCACTATTACAAGCATCATGTTGCAGCAGAGCAACATCAACAGCAGCAGTATCACCTATGTACTACATATCAGCTGGAACAAAATCTGACCTAGTGTAGCTTGAAAATGATTTCAGTCATTGAGTAGGCCAAATCTGAACAAGACGCTTTAATCCACAATGCAATTCTCGCTAACACCAGATCACAAAGATCATCTAAGTTAGGTTGCGCATTATTGAAAATACAATCATTTCTTAATTTCCATATAGACCAGAACACTGCAAAGGGGATGATTCTCCAAATCTTCTTCTATAACTTTTTCAGCTTAACAACTGCCCACCAAAGTAATAGGGCATCCACTGATCTTGGAATAGTCCATTGAAGACCCCACCAACTCAAAAACTTGCACCAAAGTAACTAGATAAAAGAACAATGCAAAAGCACACGGTTATCCGTTTCCTCTTCCACATTACAAAACACACAATGTAAATTACTAAGGTTATCTAAAATACCAATCCTTTGAAGATAATTAGATGTCTTGATCCTTCTCTTCCATGAAAGTCAGCCAAATAATTAAACTTTATGGGAGGGCACATTCTTCCAAATAAGGTCTGTCACCCCGTATATAGGATCAAATGAGGATTCACAAAATTGATAAGTGGATGAGACAGAAAGCACACCTGAAGAATTCGCATTCCATATCAATTTATCAGGCACATTAGCCCTTAACTCAGGGGTAGTAAGCAGCAGCGCTTTCAACCTACCTACCTCCTCCATTTCCCATTCCAACAAGCTCCTTTTGAAAGATGAATTCCAGTCTTCATACTAAACTCTAGATCTCAGCATAGATACCGAATCAAATTTATGTTTGGCCAGAAGAAAAAGTCTAGGAAACTCATCCTAGAAGCAAACATTACCTGCCCATTTGTCTAGCCAGAACCTTGTCCTCAAACCATCACCAAGGACAAGTTTAGAATTGGACTGAAAAAGACCAGCACTTCAGGCTTGGATAATATAACACCCACAATATCTTCCCATATTTTAGACACCCTGCCTCCTCTCACAAGCTCAGGTGACCAAATATCAGTAGACCCATAATACTTTTTGCAAATCACCTCTTTCCAAAGAGGTTTTCCCTCTGCCCCAAACCTCTACCACCACTTCAACAATAAACATAAATTCATCAAATTAACTCTTTTAACTCCCAATCCACCTTGCCTTGTACTTAGAGTAACATCTCCCCAATTGACCAAATGAACTTTCCTTCTAAGGTCCGAACCACCCCAAAGAAAAGTTGATTGAATTTTATTGATCTCCTTTGCCACCCCTACTGGCATCTTAAACAAAGAGAGGTAATAGACATGTAAGTTGGACAAAACAGCTCTTATAAGAGTTAGCCTACCTGCAAAAGAAAGGTACCTTCTTTTCCAAGAGGCCAATTTTATTTTAAACTTCTCAAGCACAGGCTGCTAGGTCTTTTTTCTACCAGGACTAGCTCCCAAGGGCATCCCCAAATATTTCAGGGGTAATTTTTGATGAAGATAATGTAATTTGGAGGCAAAATCTTGACATACAGCTGTAGGTATACCCACCCCGCATACCACACTCTTATGATAATTAAATTTCAGGCCCGACATAATTTCAAAGCATCTTAATATTCTTTTGATATTTAAAACCTCACCCCATTCAGCTTCACAGAACAAAATGGTGTCATCAGCAAATTGCAAGTGAGTGATCTTAAGATCACTAGATCCCATTAATGCACCCCTATTCAAACCCAGCTGTTTCGCTCTCTCTAACAATATATTAAGGCCTTCTGCCACAATGTTAAATAATAAAAGTGATAATGGATCGCCTTGTCTGAGCCCTCTTTGTGGTTTGAACTCAGAAGTTGGGGAACCATTTACCAAAATAGAGATCCTTGCTAAGGTCACACATTCTTTAATCCACCGCACCTACTTAGAACCAAACCCAAAATTTGACAGCATTGAGAATAGAAATCCCCAATTTACTAAATCATATGCTTTTCAAAATAAAGCTTCAACAGTAACCTCTTTTCTCTGTCCTTCTTCCACCCATCCACAATCTCATTTGCAATCAAGATCCCGTCCAGAATATTTTTGCCTTCTATGAAAGCAGACTGTGAATCACTGATTATCCTAGGCATGACTTTCTTCAATCTATTGGAAAGCACCTTTGCAAGGAACTAATACAAAGAACCAGCTAGGTTGATGGGTCTGTAATATGTAAGACCAGAAGGGTTACAAATCTTTGGAACCATAGCTATAAAAAAAACTGTCTATACCTTTACCCAACTTAGCATTTTGATGGAATTCATTCATAAATTGGATTACATCAGCCTTAATGATACTCCAGCATTTTTGGAACATGGTGAGATTAAATCTGTCTGGACCAGCAGCCTTATTACCCTCACAATTTCTAACTGTTGCCAAAATTTTTGTTTCAGAAAAATCTAATTCCAGAAAATCTGAAATTTGGTCCTCCCCAATGGTCTTAAAAGGGCCTAACAGCCCAGGCCTGATACGCCAAGGGATTAGAGAATAGATTGAGAAAATGATTTTTCACTTCAACTCTAACATCTTGCGGATTCTCCACAACAGAACAATTAACCAAAATAGAGCATAAGGCATTCTGGTTCTATCTACTATGGGCCATAATGTGAAAAAACTTCATGTTTTTATCCCCCTTATTTGCCCAATTTAGCCTTGATTTCTGGAGCCACACCCACTCCACCATTTTGCTCATTTTCCATGCTTCACCTTTAGCTTCCCTTCTTCTAGCAGCCTGTGATGATGATAGCGCCCTTTCTTTAGCCAGTAAATCAAGAGCATGAAGTTCCTCCTCAACTTGTTTCAGTTTGAACTCAACATTACCAAACACATCATTATTCCACTGCTTTAATGTGGCTTTCAAAGCTTGCAGCTTTTTTAAACATTTGAACCCAGCCCAACCATTTAACATTGATTCAGACTAGCATTTTTCCACCACCTTCATGAAACTTGGGTGAAGGATCCATGCATTGAGAAATTTGAAGGGTCTAGGGCCCCAGTCTCTCTCATCCTCCATCAGTAGGATAGGGCAATGATCTGACCATCCTCTAGGAAGACCCCACACTTTGAAATTAAAGTTACACAACCACTATGGGTTTACAAGAAATCTATCTAACCTACTCCACCTCTCCCCTTCCTGTGAACTACCCCAGGTGAATTTCCTTCAAAACATTGGTAATTCAGCTAACTCCAATTGGTCAATCATTTCATTGAACTCCCCCATCCCCCTATCCCTTCTAGAGCAACCCTTTCTTTTTGAAATAATCATAATCTCATTAAAATCTCTTATATTTAGTCTTTTTTTTTTTACCTTTAATTTTTTTTAAGCGTATTTCAAAAGTTAATTTATGTCCAAAATTATACAGAAATTGGTACATTAATATTTTATTATATATAACTCAAATTTCTGACACAAACCAAACTGTAATATAATAGTATATTTTTATGTCATGTAAAAGTTAATGTGATATTTTCTGTTTAATTTTAAACATAAATTTGCTTTAGGAGTGAATTAAGAAAAAATTGAAACATAAAATGCCAAAGTAAAAAAAAATGCAAGGACGAAAGTTATAAAAAAAAAAAAGAAAAAAACAGAAGACTAAGAATTGGTTTGAGATGTTCTAAAAAAGTACACTTTTTGACTTTTTGACTTATATGGGTTGGGTTTGATGTGATGTGTTAGAGAGGTGATGTGATTTAAATAAGATGATGTGACTTAAATAAGATAGTGACTTTTTGACTTTTTATATTATTTAGATCATGCCAAACTTGGCCTAAGCATAAAAAGGACAAAATCTAAATTACTCTTTTATTTATTTATTATTTTCCCATGCACTACTGTAGTGTACACGATATGTGACAAAACCATTTAAATATATTAAAAATTAATTATTATAAAATTGTCTAATGTAAAGAGCATGCATAGACTGATTGGTGTTTATTTTTGAAAAAAAAAGGGTCATGCTACGTTTCATGAAAACTGTCATGAAAATCATTTGCACCGTTGGATCATGAGACACATATCTGATCTAACGGTGCAGATGGTTTTCATGACAGTTTTCATGGAAATTCTTCATGAAACCTAGCATTTCCCAAAAAAAAAAAAAATCATAAATTGAATCATCTTTGGGGAATTGATAATTTTTAAATTTGTGTTGTTAGCACTATATTATTACTAGTAGGAATAGTATCAATCAATCATTTTCTTGACACATTAGTAGGTTTAAAAAGTAGGTCTAACTGAGTTTGACTTTTGAATCTAAATAACTATACCCTTAAAAAAAAATTCGATCACTACAATTATAAGGGTGTTCCAGACATATCAATGTGAATTGATAATTTTTTATCAATTCTTATATCCTAAAAGTATACAAAACTTAGATAATTGTAGATGTATTATTCCTATAAATATAATAATGTTTAAAGAGTCCAAAATTTGGAGAAGGTTGAAAATTACAATAGGAAGCAATTGCGAGGACCAAAATTTGCAAGTCCTATTTTGTTCATATTTATTTATTTATTTGGTGTGAATAATACATTTTTTTTTAATTGGTGAAAAATAGAAAGATTTATATTTTGGGTGAAACACTAATAAATTCTAAATAGTGATCTTATAATCTGTTTGGTCCTTTTTTTTCTTATGAACTCAAATATCTAATTCCAGTGTGAATTACATAAAATGTCAGGTACAAACATGCGTGTATTATATGTTGAGGGACAAATGTGAGTTTTTTTATAATGTTAAACTTGCTAAACGTAACATACTAAAAAATTTCTTAGTATACTTTTCTCAAATGTAACAACGTAACATTTCAAAAAACAACTCCTTAGTATATTTTTCTCAAACGTAACACTCCAACCAATCTAACACACTAAAAAACTCATTGGTATACTTTTCTCAAACGTAACAACATAACATTTGAAAAAAATTCTTTAGTAGATTTTTTTCCAAATGTAACACTTCAATCAATGTAACACATAAAAACTCCGTAATATACTTTTTCCAAACGTAATACTTTAATGTAATACACTAAAATATAATATTGCCAAAAGGCTCTTTAATATATTTTTTCTAAACGTAACACCCAATTAATGTAATGCATAAAAACTCTTTAGTGTACTTTTCCGAACGTAACACTTTAATGTAACACCAGAAAATCACACTGACAGAAAAGTAGATTTCCACGCTCGACAACCAACACTTCAGCCACCAGTTTCCTCAAAAAGAATCTTGCACATCTTACCTTTCTATACCCATCCAAAAAAGCGAATTAGAAAATTAGAAAAATAAATCACAAAAGAGCATTCACTTAAACTCAAATGACACTAAATCAAATAAATATAAATTTTCGAAAGAAGAGGAACTAATTGGTTCATAAGAAAATTTTAGGAATAAATAGATCAACATTCTTTCATAAGAGAAACAATTTATAAGCTATTAAGATCTTACAAATTACACCAAAGTTAATGATCCATTAAACCAGAGAAAAAGCAGAGTCTTAAAACCTCCAAATACTAACTCACCACCAAGCCCGCGACCTTCCAATAATTCTCATTCGTGGACAAAACAAAAGGTCACAAAATAAAATAAATAAATAACCAAAAATATTAAAATGGTCCAACAAAATTTTTCTCTCCTACAAATTATTTTACAAAAACTAAAAAGTTCGATTGTTTGGAAATTGAGAAATTTCTCTGTTTCACCAAATAGAGAATTTCTCATTTTCTAATTATTCATGTAACAATTAGTTTAAAACTAAATCAAATGAAAGAAATTCATCTAAGCGACTTTTGAAATTAAAAATAAATGAAATAGGTCTTTCAATAGAACAGTTCAAGGTTGGCGAAAGTAAAACTTCTTGATGAGTGTATAGATATACATATATAAATATATGTACATCGATTCACAATGGAATGGTTGGTTTATAAATATATAAAATGTGTAATGAAAGTCATGATATTATCAAATTTTAAAAAATAATAAAAATAAAAAATGTACTAATCTTGTTTGACAGATCATGATAAATAGGTTTTAAACTTATAAATTTTACAAATGTGTAAAATAAAAATTATTTAGTCTGGTTAGTTTGGTTTCAAAATTTTACTCTTAATTTCTTTTAATAATATAAATCAGTTTGATAAAAATAAATATTAAAAATATTTTTATCCTAAAAAGAGAAAATTATATGAAGGTGAGTGTTTTTATTTTATATTTCATTTTTTTCCCACCAAACTAGCTTTTAATTTATACAATTTTTTCATAAATAAATTTGAAAAACAAAACTAAACTGTGCAATTACATTTTAAAATCTAAAACATAAAAAAATAGAAAATTACCATGTATTGCTTTAAAATGATAGTGTAGTAGAAAATTTTCCGAATAAAAAATGTTACTAAAAATCTATCCGAGTGATAAAAAATGATTTTTAAAGAGTAATACTATGAATCTCTAGAAATTATCCAAAATCTTTATTTTGTGATTTACATTTATTGTATATATAGAGCTTACACACTATATAAATTAATTTTCACTACACAATCATCCATCCAAAATCTACCATATTTGTTTTTCAAAACGTTTATCAACAGCTAATTACTCAGTAATCCTTATGTCAAGAAGTTTCGTTGGTAAAGACACCCACTACTCCTATCTCATAGGCTCAAGATTATTGGAAAACTTAAATATAAAAATGATACATTATCTGATTAAATCTTTAAAAAATTGTGGCCTTTAACACTAAATTTTTATTTTTATTTTTTTGGCAAAATTTATTTTACCTACCTGTGATATGATTTGATAACACGATCCACTATCTTTTAAAAATAGTCACATGTCCTCATGTGGTTTGGACTAAAATATAACCATTAACACCGTTAACTATAGATGTGAAATGACTATAATACCCTCAAACCCTATATTTTTATTATTTTCTCTCTCTCATCTCTCATACAAATAATTTATAATGTCTACTATTAATTAAATTAAATCACAATTAATTATAAATTCTTAATTATTTATTGTAATTCTTAAATTTTTATTCTATTTTTAATTTAATTATATTTTAGATCACAATAAATCCTAAATATCCAACTATTTGATGTAATTAATAACTTTTTAATCTAATTTTAATATAATTATATTTTAGATCACAATTAATCTTAAATTCTTAATTATTTATTATAATTTCTAGCATGTTAATTTAACTTTAATTTAATTACATTTTAGATCAATTCTTAATTATTGTTTATTTTATATTTTATTTAATTATATTTTAAATCACTTCTTAATTATATTTTAATTTATTTTATTTTAATTAACATATTAATCTAATTTTAAGTTTGGAGAAAATTAGAGTAAAATTGTCCTTCTCTTGTATTAATTTCATTCTAACTTTTTAGAAAACAAAATCTACTCTCAAAATTGGTGTGTGTAATACACTTTCGTTTAATTCAGATAGAAAAACTAATAGTAACACTTTAGTCCAAAATCACATAGAGACTTTTTAACTATATTTAAACAATAAGAATGTAAAATATTTTGACTCCAAACTACAAGGGGTTAAAATACATTTAATCCTTAACTTAATAGTTAAGTCATCTCAGGTCCCATACTCTCACCTAAATTATTGTCCTTCAAAAATTTTCGACCACATTTTTTCATTACAAACCTTTTTTCCAAAGTTTCCAAGAAATTTCCAGCTACTTTTTAGCTGGAAAGTTTAACTTCATAGCCACCACTCCTTCCTCACCATGATTCTTTGCGGGGGTAATGGTGACAGACCTTTTTGTCCAGGAAATGTCAATCTTAAAGACTTGAAAGTTCACACCTATGAATCAAAAAAAAAAAAAAAAAAAAAAAAAAAAAAGGAAAAAAATTATTGTCTTTCAAAATGTTTTCAGTCACATTCAAGA